TTCGTAGTCCTGAACTTCTTCCGATCTAAGAATTTCTAACGCATATAATACGAAACAACAAGACGTGAGAGAACGGGAAGTAGGCACGGATATAACTAGCCCACAATGCATCGCAATACTGACTTCGAGCATGCGCAAATTATGTAAATAAAGTTTCGAGAGAAAAAAAACACCTTTACTTTTCGCTTATTCACAAAAACACATTTTTTGTATGCTTAAAGTTGAACTCATCCACTAAGTATTTAGTAAGACCGTAGAAAGTTTAAACAAAATATTTGTTTATCCGACGCATGACCTACTTCCGGTGACGTATTCGTCGCATCCTTGTTTCAGAGTTTTCCCGCGCTCTCCTCACCTAACCGAACTGTCAGCTCAAGCTAGCGCCTCAAGCTTTACTGTAACTACATTAAAATGCCGTCTTCAGACTACGACTCCGCTTCCCTGCCGGACTTATTACCGCTGTACTACCGACGGCTCTTCCCCTTCTCTCAGTACTACCGCTGGCTGAACTACGGCGGAGGTAAAGGTCCAGAAACAGGCCGGAGGTGTTAGCAGGAGCCGGTCGGTGTGTTAGGACACTATGAGGTTAATTAGCTGTTTACCTGTCTTAACTAACATCTACATTGTGTTTTGGTCTGTGCTTATTTGTCTGACTAATTTGATTCTCATACTTTCTATAGTTAAATACTGTTTTTATAGCTTCAAGTTTTCCTCCAGTTATCCTGTCTTGTCCTGACCTTCACTAGTGTTTACTAATTATGACCACTTTTAGTGTAATGTGAATGGACTGCATTTATATAGCACTTTTCTATCTTATCAAGATACTCAAAGCGCTTTACAACACAATCTGTCTGCATTTACCCATTCATACATCATTCTACTAGATCTGTACAAAGAATAATCAGAGCTTTATCACGTTCATACACCGATGGGACACATATCAGAGTCAATGAGGGCTTCAGTGTCTTGCCCAGGGACACTTCGACATGTGACTGATGGTGGAATCGAACCCCCAACTCTTGCATTGGAGGACGACTGCTCTAACCACTCAGCCACAGCCGCCTCTAGTAATGTAGGAGGTTAAATTGCATCAATTGAGTAAAACTAGTTATAAGTATATTCATGAGAAAGATGGATTTGTACCTTTAGAAGGCATTCAGCTTATTTTGCTGATAATAACAAGTATGGCATTGTTTTATTTGCATGATTCAATTGTGAAAGTAGATGTATTATGTATATATTATGTATGTAGTAGTCTAGTCAAATAATGCAAAAACAGGCTTGAAAACTAAAGACGGTCTAAAAAACAGAAAAGTGCCACTGTTTTTCTTGAATTCTAAATGCAATGTACTGTGGTCTTCACTACGACCCAATAAATCTAGGTGTTGTTTGATTCTGACAGTGGCAAAACCATAAAGTGTCAAATTTATGATTCTATAATTTTTAAACGTTTTACACAGCACAATAAATGGTTTCTAACGATTCAAGGTTATGACAATTATTCTTGTGCCCCACATTTTCTCTGAGATGAGCTCTCGGGTGCACATGTTCAAACTTCATGGTATATTTCGTGTTTTCTGGCATTTACTCAAACATTATCTAAAGACTTTCAGGTCTTTCTGCCTTTCCTTTTGAACATTCACAATCTATTTTGTTTGCTTCTGTTGATGAAACTGCAACAATTTCGACGGACTAATCCCCCACCACCCACATCCTTAGTGCAGAAGAACTACTTCCAGAACCGAGAGTTCTCCTTCACGCTGAAAGACGACATCTATGTGCGCTACCAGTCGTTTACCACGCAGAGCGAGCTGGAGAAGGAAATGCAGAAGATGAACCCGTACAAGATTGACATCGGAGCCGTGTACACTCACAGGGTAAGGTCTGGAGCAAAACTCTTCGCACATTTGAAGTGTTGCTACCTTCATGTAAAGCGTTCGTCCCTGTTCGTTACCTGCAGCCGAACCAACACAACACCGTGAAGTCTGGGAGCTTCCAGGCTCTAGAGAAGGAGCTTGTGTTTGATATCGACATGACGGACTACGATGATGTCCGGAACTGCTGCAGGTTAAACGATTTATGTGTTTCCCCCCCCAGTTATTGCAACATCGTTCCATGTCTGCCGAATAACTATAACATTTCAAAACTTTGGTACAGTGAAGCAGATATTTGTGCAAAGTGCTGGACACTGATGACCATCGCTATTCGTATCCTGGACAGAGCGCTTCGAGGTGCGTCACTCATCATCATCATTTACTTTATTTCAGACACATTATATGATCCCTATAAAAAACAGAAAAACAAGAACACGGAGTTAAAAGGCTTTTCTATAGAGGCTCAAACGCCACTGAGTCCATAAAGAGCTTAGTCCAGGGTTGGTCACTGACTTTAATGCCAGGTGTTGGTTTGTGCTGACTTCAGAGAGAGATAACTTCTAGCTAATTTTTGTTTTCTGTTCTTTGCAGAGGACTTTGGCTTTCAGCACTTGCTGTGGGTTTATTCTGGCAGAAGAGGAGTTCATTGTTGGGTGTGTGATGAAGCTGCCAGGAAGCTCTCTGCAACAGCACGGTCCGCTGTGGCAGAGTACCTCAGCCTGGTCAAGGTAGCTCAGATTTAGCTTGTAATAGGTGTTTAGAATAATCCTAATTTCTAAGACGAGAACAAAGTGTTGAGAGACATGATAAGCTACCCTAGCAAAAGAGGTACCGTACTTGCTGCTGTACACATCGTACCGCCGTATAAATCTCATCAGTCCAAATGTGTCTAATAAAGTGGAAAAAAAAACATAAATGCGTCGTTTCGCCGTATAAGTCGCATCTATTATGTGTCACCGCTGTCGCGTCGCGTTTGTTACATGTCACCACTGACAACCTGGACATGTGGGCCTGTGTTGTGCCAAAAATCAAATGGCTGGCGGGAGCGTGCACGGGGACGACTTTAACAAGAATTTAACAAGATTAACACTTAAAACAATTATTTGTTTGCTCAACATTATAGTAAAGGTGTCTCAGTTGATCTTTTCCTTAATAAATTCACTTTAATGGTCAAATCCGCTGCATTTCGCCTGGGCAGCACGGTGAAATGCAGCGGATTTGATGTTTGCTTCAGGAGTTCCAGAACAAGACGAAGGTGTCTCTGTATGGCAAGCCAAGTGTCTCATTAATAGACACTTTTACCTATTAATGAGACACTTGGCTTTCCATAATACTTGAGCGCCCTCTAGCGGCTGAAAACTAGTGTACAATATTTTCCTTGTCAGAATGAATGAACTCATCAGATCTCAGCCAAAACTTGGCTTATAAATATGGGAAAAAAAACATAAATCAGTTGCTTCGCTGTATAAGTTTGTTTATTTATTTATTAACCTTTATTTAACCAGGCAAATCCCATTGAGATCGCAGATCTCTTTTGCAAGGGAGGCCTGGGCCTGAAGGCAGCCTAACATGCATGTTTTTGTCAGTAAAGGTATGAACCACAAGTCGCAGGCATGCTAATTTATGCAAAAAACTGCGACTTGTACAGCGAAATATACGGTAAACATTGTTGAAAAGGCTCATTTTAAAAATAAGCATCTGATTTCTGTTGTTTTTCAGGGTGGTGAGGGGACCACAAAGAAAGTCGTGCTGTCGGATCCAATTCATCCTTTTATTAAGTAAATATGTGGTTTAAGATATTTGTGTCGAATATGATTGTTTTGTCATTGTTGTTTTTGATTTTTGTGGCTTCAGCTCTTTAAGAGTCTTGTGTTCTTAACAGAGAGTCTTTGGAGGTGGTGGAGAACTATTTCCCACAATACGCTCTGCAGGACCAGGAGGTGCTGAGCCGTAAGGAGTCCATAGACAAAGTCCTGGCTCTCGTTCCTGAAGATATCCTTTTTACAGTATGATGTAATACATTTAGGGAGGAAAATGAACGCTGAACTGGAGAACTGTGTGTAGGTTTTATATTTAAGAGAATGGACAAGAATTTGAAAATGAATTGACCTTAAATGTCTCAATACATGTTAGAAAAGACTTACAGGGGGAATTCCAAAACGAGAAGAAACCAGAAAACCGCTGGAAGTTGATTCAGTTACAAGCCAGAAAGAAACAGGTTGGTGATTTGGAACCTCTTTATTTTATTTGTTTTTATAAGTTTTTTCTTATGAAATAAAAACATGAAACTTAATGGCCTGTTTGAACTTTTGTAAGCCAGACAGAAGCACCAAGTATTTTTTTAGTCATCCATTCATTAATGGGGGGGGGGAGACACCCTGGACAGGTCTCCAGTCCATCACAGGGACACATAGAGACAAACAAGACAAACAACCATTCACTCTCTCACTCACACCTAGAGACAATTTAGAGTTACCAATCAGCCTAACATGCATGTTTTTGGTCTGTGGGAGGAAACTGGAGAAAATGCACGGAGAGAACATGCAAACTCCACCCAGAAAGGTCCTGGGCTGGGATTTGAACTGGCAACCTTCTCGCTGAGAGGACAACCGCTCCACTAACTGAGCCACTGTGCCACTCCTCTTTGTTCAATTACATATTTCTCTAAGCAGCATTGCAAATATAAAATTGTTTTTATTAAAGAGTAGTTTGGAAGACAATCGTCACTCATCGTAGTTCTTTGTTTTATCCAGAAATGTGTTCCATAAAAAGGGAAGCCATGTATTAACTCTGCACAGGCATGCTGCAGAGTTTAAATCTAATTGGAGGCTTGTTTTGAGGAAAAGCAAACATCTTTTAAAAGATGATAAAAACAATTCCTGTTGTTAGGGTATTGTACCGGTGTCTGTGACGATATGAGTGTTTCATGATGGTACTGTGGAGAGAAATATGCAGTCATTCAAGCAATGCTGGTGTTTTTATTTTTCTTAAAGCAGAATAGAACTGCATCTCATTTGACACAACTCTTTTAATCAAAATTACAGAGTGTGATGAAGTGGACATTAGACAAGGTGACCACAGATAGCTGAGCAGTTAAAGCCTAAATTCACTGGGAGAAATGTTTATAAATAACTTTTTGAAAACTTCGACTATTAGTACCCTTTGTTGCCAATAGGTCTGTCACGATAACAAATTTTGCTGGACGATTAATTCTCCAAAATTATTGCGATAAACAATAATATTATGTGAAATTTGACAATACTTAGTACTTAGTATTGTGAAGAAATGTTGGTTAATTTTTGTGTGTAGTACGTTTTTTGACCACAGGATGGCAGTACAAGACTGTTTGAACTGAAAGATGGATAGTGAGGGAGCGAGCAGCATGTCTCTAAAGAAAAATGGGAGGGAGGCTCCTTGACGTGACATGGGCTGTCTCTCTTCGGTTCTCAAAATGTCGAACGCTCGGTGTGGTTTGAGCTCTTTAGCATAGCATTTTTCCACACAAAGCTTTTAATAATTAAAAAAACCCAGTAAACAAGTTCTCAGCTTCTTTTTGCAGAGAAAAACTTTTTACATGACGGCACGGGTTTCAACTGTGAATTTTGGAGCTTTGCCAAGACGGTGGTTTTTTTCCCCGAGGTCGGCCTGTTAGCTTAGCTCGTAGCTTAGCTGCTTTAAACGATCCAAAAACATGATCTTGGATCGTTTAAACAGATTTTAAAGAGTAAGAGAGGAGTCGGTGAAGAGCACCGGAGCTGAGCCTTTTATCATCCAGTCTTCAGTAGAAAGAGAGGGACATGAAGAAACAAAGCCGATAAATGAAAATGAGGTTGATCATTTTAATTCATCATGTGATTAATTGATTTACTGTTTATTGCAACAGGCGTAGTTGCCAAATGAGTAATAAGTGTAAATAAAAGAGAGGATTTTAAAATGCAAGGGTAAAGTTACATTCCCACTGTAGGTGTGCAGGTTGCATCCGATTAAAAATGTGTTTGTATCTGAACATGTCGGGCGGCACAGTGGCTCAGTTGGTAGGGCTGTTGCCTTTCTGCGAGAAGGCCGCCAGATCAAATCCCAGCCGGGTACCTTTCTGGGTGGAGTTTGCATGTTCTCTCCATGCATGTGTGGGTTTTCTCCAGTACTCCAGTTTCCTCCCACAGACCAGAAACATGCACATTAGACTGATTGGTAACTCTAAACTGTCTCTAGGTGTGAGTGAGAGTGGATGGTTGTTTGTCTCGTTTGTCTCTGTGACTATACTGTGATGGACTGGAGACCTGTCCAGGGTGTCCCCCGACTCTCACACTGTGACCTGAAAAGAAAGAAGCAGGTCAAGATGATGGATATATTGTATATTCGTGTTAAATAAATGTTTAAATAACTCTTCTTTAATAATCTTAACTTCCCTCAGTCTCAGTAACCACCTTACTTCAGTCCACAGCTAAAAAGGGCCAACATTTTGAGAAGGAGATCATGCTGCAGTACTGCTACCCCCGGCTCGATGTGAATGTCAGTAAAGGTGTGAACCATTTACTGAAGAGCCCTTTCAGCATCCATCCTAAAACAGGTGAGCATACTTCAGACACCTGAGAGTACTTGACCTCACCGTGAAATGTTTGTAACGCTTCTTCACCTGAACAGGACGGATCTCTGTTCCCATTGACCTCAGAGAGTTAAACAAGTTCGATCCTTTCGCTGTGCCCACCATCAGGTGAGTGTGAATTTATCGTCCTGTGCTGTGAACGATCCTTGATCCTGAACGAAGCTGGAAATGTTCGACTCTTTTTAAAAGTTTGATCTGTGAGGAGCTGGATCGACCCAAAGCAGGGGAGGAAGAAGAACCGTCTGCGACCACCATGGAGAAGGACGATGAGCGAGATGCAGCGGAGAGGAGAAAGATCAGAGGTGCCAAAGGCTGATGGGGGAGAAATATGAGCATAAATTGTGTTTAATTGCACAGAAAACATGAATATTCTAGTTTTATGTTGGAAACAAAGACATTTACTTTACGTACGTCATCTAATCGACTGGTTAGTGTTTGTTTAAATAAATGAGCCCTCTCTCATCCCAACAGTTTCTACCTGGGTTTGTCTAATGAGCCATCTGGAGTTTCAAATTAAGACTTCTTGAGACATTTTTTAATGTTTTTGGTGCAAATTAAGTGTTTCTATATGAAACGAAACATTACTTCAGGTTTATCTGATGAGTTTTCATTTGAGTTCCAAAGTTTGATGCGATTGTTAATATTAGTTACATTTTTGCTTGGTGCACCAGAATAACTTTCTTACAAACATTTTTCACTCGTAGATTACAAAAGAACCAGTTTGGCCAAGTACGTGAAGCACTTCGATCAGTTTCTGGATGCACTGGCTCGTTCGTGGAAAGGAGAACTCCTCAGAAAGAGCGGTGAGTTCTAGGTGTAATAAATGACACGAAGATCAATCATATTCTGAGCGTTTCTCTACTTTATTCTGTCTCTTCTCTCTTTTTTAGATCTTCAGAAAGAATTCTAATAATGAGCCACACTCTGAAAATAACTCCTCAGACGACACAATTACGGATCTGGTGTCTTTTTGCCGTGAAAATCTTTTTGGTGATAGAATCAGAGTTAGGTCAGATCAGTTTTTATGCTTTTGTAATACTCGTTGATAATACTTTTGTAATTTAAGCTGCTTAATAAATGTGTCTTTTCCTTAATGTTACTGCAGACCTGGATTCACTAAAGGCAGAAAAGTACTGCAGTACAGTGAAAATAAACGTGTTTCTGCTCTCATAAATGCTCGCATCTGAATTATTTCATTAACACAAAACTGAATCTTAGAACCACAATTAAATTAAATATGTCATCGCTTGATTCAGTTCAATTCAGTTTATTTATATAGAGCCACATCACAACAAAGTTGTCTCAGGGCACTTTACAGGAGCATTCACATACATAGAGAAGCCATTTAGTAAAGTTCTCTATCTAAGGAAGCAGCAGACATGTTGAATCCAGTCTCCCATCCTGAGCAAGCACAGTGGCAACAGTGGAAAGAAAAAACTCCCTTTTAACAGGAAGAAACCTCCAGCAGAACCAGGCTCAGGACAAGCGGCCATCTGCTTTGACCGGCTGGTTTGAGAGGACAGGAAGGAGAGACAGACGAACACAGAATGATAGGTCCAGATATAGGTCCAGGTGTACCTGAAAGACAAAAAAACACATGTTAAGGATAGAAAAAATAATTACAAATACAAAACAGGTTGAGCAGAGTAAAGAAAATCATAGTGAAAACAATGTGGTCAGTTTGTTCTCCAGCATAACTAAGGGACATCTCCAGAAACCTAAGCTGACTCTAACTATAGGATTTATCAAAAAGGAAAGTCTTAAAACTGGACAATGTGTCAGCCTCACGGACAGAAACTGGAAGTTGGTTCCACAAGAGAGGAGCCTGATAACTGGAAGATCTGCCTCCCATTCTGGTTTTGTAAATTCTAGGAACCACAAGTAAACCTGCAGCCTGAGAGCGAAGTGCTCTGTTAGGAAAATATGGAACAATAAGATCTGTAATATAAGATGGAGCCAGGTTGTTGAGAGCTTTGTAGGTTAGAAGTAAGATTTTGAATTCTATTCTGGATTTGACAGGGAGCCAATGGAGAGAAACTAAAACTGGAGAGAGATGATCTCTCCTACTAACTCCAGTTAAGACTCTGGCAGCAGCATTTTGTATCAACTGAAGACGTTTTAAAAAAGTATTTGGACACCCAGATAATAAACCATTGCAATAGTTCAGTCTAGACGTGACAAATGCATGAACCAGTTTTTCTGCATCATTTTTAGATATGTTTCTAATTTTAACAATATTACACAGGTGGAAGAAGGTGGTTCTAGTAACGTTTTTAATGTGGGGGATAAAAGACATGTCCTGATCAAAAATAACACCAAGATTTTTAACATTAGAGCTGGAGGACAGATTAATGCCATATAAGGAGGGAGAAAGACTAAAAAATTCATTCCTAAGGTGCTCAGGTCCAAAAACCAAAACCTCAGTCTTGTCTGTGTTCAACAGGAGAAAATTAAGAGTCATCCAGGTTTTTAATGTCTTTAAGACATGCTTGTAGTCTAAGTAGCTGATATGATTCATTGGGTTTAATGGACAAATATAATTGTGTGTCATCAGCATAACAATGAAAATGTATCCCATGCTGTTTAATAACTTTCAGCACCACCATATTTTCTTGCAGTAATAAAATGTTATGGACTGCGGCTTTTTTCTGGATGAATAAAAAGTTACATTTCATTACATAAACAGAGCATCATCTCTAAATTTCTCAAATCCCATTTTTAACCTATTTTAACCCGTAAAATAAAATGCACGGTATTGTTTCACGTACTTACAGGTAATATAAAATTTTAAAATATGCCTTATATTTTACAAAATAAAACAAAACGTTTTTGGTTTTTTTGTGTGAATGACAGGTCATTATTAAATTATCTGAACTAATTAATGTAGCTAAATAAAAGTGATGCTAAATTGTTAACTTTGTGGCAGCATATAATGCAAATCTGTTTTGCACACAAAGCTTTTATTTTTTTTAGTTTAATTTAGTCCTAAAGATAAAGCATTTACAAATACCATATTTCCAAGTGTACAAGTAGAAACAAAATAAACTACTAAGTATTTTTCATTCAACTTTTATTTAGACAGATAAATCCCATTGAGCCTCGAGGACTCATTTACAAGAGAGACCTGATTTCAACAAAGAAAGATGACAACAATGGACAACAGCGACAACAATAGACAATTATAAAAAGGCATACAGATTGGTTTTTTTTTTTACAAATAAGATGGCAAAAAGAGTAACAAAAACAGCTAGATTCTAAGGCAAAAGTAGAAAACTAAAAACAGGAACATGTCTGCATTGGTCCTTGCCAGGAGTCCAACAGATTTTTAAAGCCACTTAGAGGTCGATGTCGAGAGCTTCAATTACACAATACATGTGCCTAAAATGTTTTATTTTATTTTGTGGATCCTTGAAACTGAACTAATTACTGAGAGAATAACAAAAAAAAAAAATCTGTTCAGCTTTTTGTAATTAATAAACGACATAAACCACTTGTTTGTCATTAAATAAAGATTAATAAAGATAAATTAGTTTCTTTTTGATGGTCTGTAAATTTAATAGTTATATTGAAACAGTGTGAAATGAATAAAGACTGAATAGTGAATAAAGACTTATTAGTTACCCAATGTGAACTGAATAATAACAGTAGTTAATAATAACAATAATAACAGAAACTGTTCCTTTAATTAACCCGGAAGCAGAATTCTCCTTAACCGGATATTGCAAAGCTGTTGGGGTTAGAAGTTCTCTCTCGCAGCCATCTTGGAAACAAGGTCCTGAGTCGGTGAGTGTTCTGCTCTAATCCAGCTTCATCCAACCGTTTTTAGCAAGTTTCTGTGTCTGCTTGAGGATGTACGAGTTTAATTAAACTCTGCCAATCAGACTGGTATAAGTATTATTTTAATTTTTAGCTCCGTTCGGGAGAATTATACCTATGTGCCGCTGATAACTGGCTCAAAATGGGGGAACATGATGTAAAACACATAAGCAGCACTCTTGTCAGAACCGCAGTGAACTGTCCAACCCGAGGCGTTGGTTTATTTTAGTTGACACTTATGTGGTTGCCTTTTAACACGTCTACCTGAAAACAGAGTGATAATTCACGCAGTTAGCTCGTCTGTTTAGGCCCGTTTGTTAGCCGAAGCTAAAGTTAGCCGAATGTTGCTGTCCTACGGAGTGAAAGCACGGGCTCCGTCAGCTGTCGTGCGGCTACTGTTACGTGTTTTAGCGTGTCGTCAACATTTGGCCTTTGTATTTACACGGCGTTTTTTGTCTCCTCCCAACAGCCATGCCCAGTGAAGCAACAGAAACGGTCCCGGTTACCGAGCAGGAGATGCAGCAGCCTCAAGTGGAGACTGGTTCGTATCGTTCATCCTCTGTCTGCATGTTGTGCACATCAGAAAGAGGAGTGTTGAGCTTGTACATTTGCTACCGAGGGGCTTAAAGAGTTGTCTGCTCTGTTGGCAGGACACATGACTGTACCACCAATATGGTGGTCAATGAGCACAGCCCATTCAAACATTAATGTCACTCTGGATAGAGAAAGCCACTGCTCCCTTTCTTTTACTCGGATTCTCATTAAATGTGATGATGTGCACTGACAGGTGGATTTGGCACACAATGCATGTTGTTGAGTGGGATTTTCATTTGTGTGTGTGTGTGCACGCCATGTCTTTAAACACAGTTATATGGTAGTAACATTAGTTGCATTGGTACCAGAATTGTGTCAGCTGTTGTTGTTTTTAAAGTACCAGTACTGTTCTTGACAATTACGTACTTCCATATTCAGAAAAGTTATTAATTTAAACGCTTGTTGAGGTCCCAGGCTGTGTAGATTCTTCTTAACAGTCAGCAGACGTATTGTGTAAAAAAAAACATGAGCAGAATATCTTCTTCTCGTAAACAATTGTTTTAATTCAATTAACAACGGGGTTGTATGAACAGCAGTGTCTCTTCTGCAGCTTTTATACGTATTGTAATTTCAAAACTTTGGCCTTAAGCACCTTTATACCCGTTACTCTTTCTTAATCTAGATGTTCTTACTTTAAAATTGTCCACACTTAATTCTGAAATGGATTTTTTTTCCCCATATTAATCCTGAGGTTGCGGGTTTGAGCAACCAGGTTATGGAGAAGGGCGTCCAGCAGACAATTAGCAAATCTGTTGTAAGGGTTTGCTCACTGCGGTGGCCCCCCCCCCCCCCCCCCCCCCATCGCTGAGAGGAGCAGCTGAAAGCGTGTTTCTCCATATACAGCCTGAAGTACTTATATAAACACTGTTATTGTGGAAATTCTATACCCATTCTCATAAACCTCACTTTTTAACTTTTAGTTTGGCTTACAACAACTGTGGTTAAACTGCCTAAGCAAGAAAATGAATCTGTTGTTGCATTTCTTGTCTTATGTGTTCATTGGACAAAATCAGCAAAGGTTACCAGCCCAGTACTGGGTTGTTTTTCTGTGGGTGATTCTTATGTGGCTTGTGAGTTAGTTTAATTGCAAAGCTGTTGTTTTAGAAAAGGAGTCTTAGTCGTTGGATTCCTAAGTGATTTCCCATGTTTAGTGAATTTGTTTTAGTAGTGACAAAGAAAGCAGTACACTTGTTGTTTGAGCGGTTTATTAAAATGTAATTTTAAATCGATTCGAAACATTATTGGACCACGGCTGTGTTTATGGTTCGTTTTTTGCTTCTGTTTTGGATAAAACGAGACTTCCATGTTCTCATCAGGGGTAGACATAAGGAAATTATCCAGGACAACCTCTTGACAGAATCTTTTTTTTTTTTTTTTTTCAGCCTTTCAATAAAGAAGGCTATAATTTATATAAGTATTTTGTATTATATACAAAGTTTACTATATACAAATGTTCCCAGTCAGCCATCCTGGGGCCTACTTGAAATGTCCAATTTACTGAGTGGCAGAATCTTTCAGGAGCTGTTGGAGTGGAACTTCCTCACTCTCTTCTCTCTGCATCAGACTTTGCAAGAGAGACACTCAGTGTATTTAAGGCAGGCATTAAAGCAGAAATAAAATCTTTTGACTGAAATCTAACGAGGTTAAGGCAGGTCCTCTGGATGGATTCCTCATTGAAATGTTTCTCCTTTTTATTCTAAAGACTTCATCAGTCAAGTTTTCCTACACTTAGAGGTTACCAAAGCAACCTCTTCAATGATATGACACATTTGAGAGCCGTTTCCTTCATATGTATCACTTTTCAAAGGGTTTCACATAAAGATGAGTATACTGTATATGTGTACATGACCTTGGTAAAGTACACAGTACAGTGTTCTCTAATGACATGCTGACGTTGTAAAAAATACTTTAACCTGCAACATCAAGACCAATGGCATTCTGAAGGAAAAGAAGGGTTCATATGACCTATCTTAACTTTTTTTTGTGGTTTTGAATAACTTTTCTGTAGTTTACTTTAGTAATTTTAGTGTTGCCAATTGAGGAATGCAGATATATTTTAAAAAAATGGCATAGAAAGTCCTTTGCAGAGTATAAATTACTTGATTTTTATTTTTTATTTGCCAAGCTGACTTGTTTTCTCCTCTAAATGATCCCATCGTGAGACACTCCGGCTGAGCACTCTTCTACTGTGGCGCTCTCAGGCCCAGAGTTTAGTCATGCGCACAAGTTGCACATGTCTGTACAGTGATGATGATGCTCTGACCACATTAACATTTAGTACAAAGTTGGAGTTTAGATACTAAATACTAAAGTCCTGGGGAGGTTGGGATGCAGTGCGGGAGGTTGGGATGCTGATGTATTCAGTATTGTGTAGTTCTGGTATCTCCCTGGCTGCAGGTAACTAGGAATGCGCGATGTATACGGTAGAAACGATAGAAATTTAGCCTACGAAAGAGATCTGTCTTCTACCGGCTAACCGCAGTAATGCTGTGTCTGAAGTAAAATCAGAGTTGTCAGTTTAATCGTTACTTTTTTTGTTGTTGTTGAAAACTGTGCATAAGTGGCGTTAGTCTTTTCTTCAAGGGCTAAGTGGCGAAGCTACAAGCTAACTACGTCCGGCTTGCCGTAGTGTTGCCGTGTTCTGACGCATGCGCAAAACGCTGTGTTCCATCAAAAGTTTTGCTGTTTTTTTCCATCGAAAGTTAAAGTAAGCGTTAGTCAGCTTTAGAGAAACCTGATCTGTGATAAGAACGCTGTGTTGTGTGATTTTACTGCGAGACCCTCTTTACCAAAGCCAGAGTCATTTTGTGTCAGCTCTCCTTAAAGCAGAAGGAGTCGCCCACTAGAGGGTTGGAGGGTGAAGTGTTTCAGTGTAACATTCTGCTCTGTTGCTGTTCATTTCTTAAGTGAGAAGACTGGAAACTGTTAGAGTTAACAACATATTATTTTGTTTAAAACATATGGCTAAAACTACATTTGATATATTTTGCTCTGTTTTGCACTACAAGAAAGAAGCCTAATACTTGATTTGTTTGTTATTTAAAAACTCTCTGGACCTAGTAGTGGAATTTTCTTAATTCAAAATATGATGGCAAAAGGACACTCTATGCTTTTTTTTTTTAGCAAGTTTTGTACCAAAAACATATCGTGATGTATATCGTTATCGCCACCCTTCACAATACATATCGTGATATGAATTTTATGCCATATCGCACATTCCTACAGGTGACTAGTGATGTGTGAACACTTCTGCTTAATATGTAGAAGTTTAATTTATTACATGGCATCACCTTTTGTTAGGTAGTGAGGTGTCCTCCTTGGAACTAGGACAGGAAACACCGATTGGTGCTCTCCCCTGCAGCCTGTCTGAGTTAGGAACAATGTGCACACCTGGTGTGCATCAGATAGCATGACCCACCCTGCTCTGATTGGATCAAACTGGCTCTGATTCTGTTTTATTTGTTGAAAGCAGTATCTGTTTAATCTCTGTATCATCGTTGGATTGGATGGCTTTAACAAGATCACAACAAAACACACTTTTCCCCCCTTTCATTTTTAACTGTGGCAGCGATGAAGAACTTTTAATGTTTATCTCACTTGACTGGCCGTTGGACAACCTCCAGGTGAGACCTGGTTGTCCAAGACAAATAAGTTGTCTCGGACAAACTGTAACCTGCTTATGTTGACCCCTGCTCAGTCACGTGTGGACACTGCATGGAGTTTGGGACAAAAGCACTTTTTTATTGTTGAGGGCACCCAATGTTTATTGTCCTCACTCCCCCCACCCCCCACTTTTAAAATTCAAATTAAGAGCGAGTTGCACATTGCGGCAAGTTCTTGTGCACACGTGGAGCACTTTTTATCATTCACTTCATGCTTTTGTGTGGCTTCAAGGATTGTTCCTTTAAACCATCTACAATGACTGTCCTTCCTGTTGCTCTTCTTGCTTTACCTTCATCAGCTGCTGGAGTTTTGAATGCTCCTCCTCCCCCTGGAGTCAGTAAAAACCCTCCAGAAGCTTGCGTGCCTGCTCAGGAGGTGAAGTTTGCAGAAGATCTCACACCAGCTTTTTGTGACCAATCCAAAAATGTATCTGCACCTCAAGGAGCGACTGAGCAAAGAGATGGGAGTGGCTGTAGTGCAACACCTGTCTTGGAGCCAGGATCAACCGCTGACTCAGCAGAGGCCTCAGCTGGTCTTTCAGCACATGAAGAGTGTGTCTTTTCTGCTGAGGATCCAGTTGCTTCTCTGGGTCTGCATGCAGTCACTCTTCAAGACGAATCAAACAGTTCTCTTGTTGCATTCAAAAAATTGACCTGTCAAGAAGTGGAGCTTATTTCTGTTGATGCAACGGCCCCTGCAGAAGAATCTCCTGGTCCCAAACAGTTGACCCCAGAAGATGTATGTGCAGACCACAAAGATGGGTTTGCAAGTGAATTGTCCAAAGCCTCAGTATGTGCAGCTGAAGATAAAATACTTCATGATGATTTGGCTTCTAAAAATGAAAATCTTCACGAGGCCTTTCAGTCTGAGAAAACTGATGCCCCTCTTACCGCTCGCCACCTCTCAGGTTGGTTTATGCGTTAAAACCAAGTTCTTTTACTTCCTGTATATGATTTTAATATTTCTATCTGGTCTCTAATACAGTTCAAAACTTTGTTTGGGTAGATTGTTCTTGTGTTGAAAACTTTAGTTATGTCTCATTCTCCACTTAATTGTTAAACAACTGGAATGTTAAGTGCATTTATTGTACATTATCATTCATTCACTAGTACTACTGTTAGCATACAAATTACCGTAAGTATCCACATCCAGTTTTGCTGATGTTAACTAATTTAATCTGTTCTAATGAACGTTGACGTTATTTCAGTACAATTAGGTGCACTTTTACACATTTTCAGAGCTATTTCACTTTGAGACAGCAGATTAAAATTTGTGTTTCCATTTTTATTTGATTATTCAATATTAGACAAACTTGTGATGTACTATATTATTGCAATAACAATACTACAATAGTCCCTCGCTACTTCATGGTTAATTTTTCGTGGACTCGCTCTATGGCGGTTTTTCAAAGTAAGATTGGATATGACACACAATTGGCTGATTATTCGATGAGCCACACAATCTGCATGGCTTTTTTATTTAAAATAAATTATTTAAAATTATTTAGCATCTGTGTGCAGCCCACAACTGTGGGAAAAGCTTCCTCCCGGAGAAGTGGGCGTGGCCAAGAGTACAGCCGAATACGGATCCCCATGATAAACGAGGGTCTACTGTAATTGCGATAAACCCCATCTCCCTCATTCCTTACTATGTTTTATGTCATCACTATAATTTTATTCAGGTGTGGTCATTATGGCCATTTGACCAAATATATTAGCATGCAGAAAATGAATGTATGGTACTTGAAATATGGTGGCCTTCGTTTTTTTTTGGGGGGGGGGGGGGGGGGGGGTGTTCTGTTCTTGACAGTATAGTTATTGTGCTCACTGATATTGCAATGGTTGATACATTTTGCAATAGTGCAGTCTTATTTTTTTATACAGTAAGATGTGAAATTTGTTTTTGATTGCATGTAAAATTGACCTTTGCTCAAAGTGAAATCTAACTGAATAGACAGGAGTTTCTGTTGGAGAAACTGTCTCTTGTATTTTGTGTGGCAGTTTGCATCTAAACTCGGAGAGGTGTGCAGTTTTTTTTTTTTTACCTAACCTAAGCATGGAGAGTGCTTATTTTATTTTTTGCAAACTTTTAACCAGCATGGCCAAGACTTTCACCACTGGGTCAAAAATTAAAAACAAGATTTTTTTCCCCTGTTCAGCTACACCTCCTGCCCCAGCTTCATCCCAACAACCTCAGGCTGCTTCTGGGCCTGCAAAGCCCAAAGGCAAAGACACCAAGAGTCCGCAGGGTTCCTCTGCCCCAAAGGCTGTTCCTGGCAGAAGAAAACGCTCCTCTATGTCTGCCTCCTCTTCCTCACCCACCTCCCCAAAATCAACTCCCTCCTCTACTCCTCGCTCACCTGTGCCATCTCCACTGGCTTCCTCAGCTGGTAGTCTTTCTGCTAATCAGGCTAATCGCCCCACCCCAAAAGTTGTTAAGGCAGGTAAACAAGGAAAAGCTAAAAAGGGAGAGGCATTTGTGCCTGCACCTGTTCAGGTAGACAGCAAAGTAACCGATGTAAAGGAAAAGCAACAGGAGGGTCACTTTGAGAAATCTGCATCTACTGGACCTAATGCCACCCCAGCTGAGACTAAAACTCAGCCAGCAGCAGCTGTTGCAGCCCCTGCTGCATTTAAAGTTACCTCAAAGCCTGCGGTTGCAGCACCAATTTCATTTTCAGATGCAATTGCTTCAAGCCCTCCAAAGTCTGTTAAGGTGGCTTCACCAAAAGCAGCTCCTGTTAAAGCTGCTGTGAATGATGATCTCCCACCACTTATCCCACCTGAGAAGCATGGTAAAGTGCCAGTTGTTTCTCCTGTTGATAAACAGAGTATGAAACCTGCTGCATCTCCTGCTGAAACTAAACCTCAAGGTTCTTCTGCTGTCCCAGCCAAGAAAGGTTCTGAACCCAAACCTGTACCTGCTGAGGCTGCCAAAGCAGCACCCCCAGGTAAATCTGCAGTTGTTGAGGTTGCAAAACCAGCTCCTACTGAAACTACCAAAGCTACCAAGGGTAAGCCTGCCCCTGGCAATATTGCTCAGGACAAACCTGCTTCTGTTGGAGCTGCTAAGCCAGCCAATGAGACTAAATCCATTTCTAAAATGGCTCCTAAACACGTTGAGGAAACTAAGGGTTCACCTCCAAAGGTTACTAAGCCTGATGCAGCCCCTGCTCAGGTAGGCAAACCAGCTGAGGTTAAAAAGCCAGCACCTACAAAAGATGCAAAGGCTGTTGCTGAGGCAAAGATAGTTGAAGTTAAGGCAGTGTCAGCTGAGACACCTAAAGGCACCAAGCCACCTGCTGAGGTTGCACCTAAAGCTGCCAAGCAAAGTGATGTTAAAAAGCCTGCACCTGAAAAAAATGCAAAGAATGTTGCTGAGGCCAAATTGGTTGAAGTTAAGGCAGTGTCTGGCGAGGCTCCTAAAGCAGCCAAAAAAGCTGCTGAGGCTGCACCAAAAGCCAATGTCTCAAGTGAGGATAAAAAACCAGCACCTGAAAAGAATGCAAAGGCTGTTGCTGATGCATCTAAAAAAGCAAAGCTGGCTTCAGAGGCTGTGCCAAAAACCACTAAGTCAAGTGATGTTAAAAAGCCAGCACCAGAAAAAGGATCAAATGCCATTGCTGAGGAAAAATTGATTGAAGTGAAGGCTGTGTCTGCCGAGGCAGCCAAGGCGGCGACGTCTGCCGAGGCACCCAAAGCAGCCAAGGCGGCGGCGTCTGCCGAGGCACCCAAAGCAGCCAAGGCGGCGGCATCTGCCGAGGCACCCAAAGCAGCCAAGGCGGCGGCGGCGTCTGCCGAGGCA